AGCGTCAGCTTAATGTGAGGAAACTTCTCCTTGAAGGTCTCGTTCATGTCCTTCTTGAGATCCGAGGGCTTCACGTAGTCAATCACCGTTGTCTGTAACAGACAGGGGAACACGGATCACTCCTTAAAACAAGGGTTGCATGTAATAATCATGCGCCAACTACGACCAACTTACAACTCCCAAGGCCATGAGCAATGGGAAAACTTGGATTGGAGCTGCGACAAGGGCTCGGCGGAATCCAGGAGCCTGAAGCGGACCGTGTCTTTCTGGAGGTGAACAGAAAACAAGTCACCACTGTTAGGATGAGGTGACACTTAGGAAAGCCGGCCTGTGGACCATCAGAAGTCAGTGCCCAAGAGAGAGGGGTCCCTCTGTCAGTTCCCAGGTGTCAGCCTGTTCACACCGTACAGGGTTTAAGCGCGTGGGGCTTAGATGTACACAGACCTGGTGTTCAATCCCTACTTGACCATTCACTAGTCCGACAGCTTTGGGAGACTTAAAATCACCCCAAATCTCAAGTCCCATTTCTGTAAACAAAAACCAGTACAGTGCCTACTTCACACAGCTTTCTGAGAACTGTTCGAGAAGTGCCGTGCACAGTGCCTGGCCTACGGCAAATGCTCAATAAATATCAGCTATTGTTTAGTTTTTTAAATGGTAGTAAAACATACATCACATACAATTTACCATCGTCACCATCTTCAGGCGTACCATTCAGTGGCATTAAGAACACTCACATTGTTGTGCAGCCCTCACCACCTTGGATCCTTGGAGTCCTTTCTGAATACCCTGGTCTTCCTCGCTCCTCTGTACCCTGCACTGTGAACTCAGAATTCAACAGTTTTTCTCTGGGTTTTCCCCAGTTCATCTCATCCCTCCTCGAGAGTACACTTGCCAAGGCTGGGTCTTTTTCGGCTGACTACATGCCACAATCTTTTTTTATTTTTTTTTGAGACGGAGTCATGCTCTGTCGCCCAAGTAGTACAGTGGTGCAATCTCGGCTCACTGCAACCTCCGCCTCTTGGGTTCAAGCGATTCTCCTGCCTCAGCCTCCCGAGTAGCTGGAACTACAGAGGCACGTGCCACCACAGCCGGCTAATTTTTGTATTTTTAGTAGATGGGGTTTTGCCATGTTGGCCGGGATCCTCTTGAACTCCTGACTTCAGGTGATCCACCCGCCTCTGCCTCCCAAAGTGCTGGGATAAGAGGCATGAGCCACTGTGCCTGGCCTACATTCTATAATCTTAATCATCCAAAGCTCAGGAAAGAAGAAACGACAGATTTTGATGTGAAGGTCGATTCCCTGGATGACTCACGCCTGCAAAGCCCATCAAAGGTTTCCTTAACAGCTCTAATGGAAGTTGGTGGCTTTCTCTGGACACCTCCATTTATAGGACACAGGATTTTAGCGCAGACATGTGGAATGCCTTTGGTGTCAGTTAGTAGGAAGGAGCAGGCAAGCAGCCAGCACATCCCAGTTCAAGTGATCTTGATGGTCCTCTCTTTGCTTCTCCGGTGAATAAAGGCAAAGCACAGCAATATTAACTCCAACAATACCACCAGACCTGTTCAGAGCCACAGTATTTGGACACTGCTCTCAATGCCCAGGTCCAGCAGAGTGGGCCCCTGTGGCAGCCCTCCAGGACAGGTTTATTTCCCTTCTACTTTTAAGAATGGTCTCCTCTGGGTTGAAGGGGATTAAGATTTCATTTTGGAAACAGGCAGTAGAATGGGGGCTACATGTAACATGCTCACCTCAAGCTGGGAGGGCCCATCAGCCAACCCTCCTGTTTCCCAAGTAATCAGCACCTTCCACCAGCTTCTCAACCCCTCACCCCCCATCCAGGCACCCTGAACTCCCAGAGACAGGCCGCTCCCACTCTTCCTCTACAGAGGAAGGTCATGAGGTTTGCAATGATGTGAGCAGGCTCAAGTAAAGTCATCTGCCTTTGTTGGGGGCCTGGAGCCCCGTGAGCGCCAGCAAGGATATCCTGCTGCTTAACCATCATGCGGATTTTCAGGCTGGGTTCTGTTGAAGTGCCTGTGGGAGGGGACTGGATCTCTCCTCGCAGCAACCACAGCAAGTCTGCTTTGCTCCGTCTTATTTGTAGATACACAACACTTCCCTTGCAAGAGAGATCTCACTGCTTAAATGTGCAAATATGCAAATGTGTCCCACCTCTGTTCGCAACAGAGGCTCAGAAAAGTGAAAAGGCTCGCCCCAGACCTGAGTGAGCCGCAGGCAGGGCCAGCGCTGGGACCCCGGTCTCCCAGAGCAGCTGCTTCCCAGCTCGCGCCCCGTGCACTGCCTTCCTACTTTTCTCTCCTTGATGGTACTGAATAAGCAGCACAGAGTAGCTCCCTACCCAAGGGCTCTCACCAGGATGACTGAGAAGATAGCTGGCAGTGGAAAGGGCTGGCGGGTGGTGGGGCAGGTCCACCTTCAGCAAGTCAGG